TGAATTAAATATGCTTTCAACTCATGATTTTTCACTCTAATCCCACAATCTTTATGTACACGATCTGCTAAAAGTGAGTCCCCTACTCGAGTCATTACTAGCAATTCATTATCTAAAGGCTCTAACATTTGATTAGCATAGTTAGCAAGTGTGTGAGAAATAAAGGAATGCGTAGCACCCGAATCAATTAAAGAACGAGCATTTCTACCAAAAATAGATGACATACCCACTACCACATCTGGTGACTCTTCTGCCTCCTGTTATGTCGTAGCAAACACCTTGCCCTGAGTCCTGGATCGACCTGCCTGGACTCCCTATCTAGAAGCACTAACCCTAACAGCATTAGATTGTGTGGCCCCTATCAACCCTGCTGATGGAGTTCTTTGATTCCTGTTCTGTCTAGTCATATTGATCCCTGGCTGTGGAGATACTATCTGAGATGCTCCAATCTACTGAGATCTAGCTGAACAATCTTTCCTTATGTGTCCCATCTGACCACACTGATAACAAATTCCAACCCCTCGAAGACACTCGCTTGGATGAAACTTCCCACAAGACTGGCACTGTGGAAAGCTCTGATAATCAGAAGCCTCACTCTGCCTCACTCCTTGAATTCTCTGTGAAGGACCCTGCACATTAGAATGGCTTCCCACTGACTGTTGTCCAAAACTCTGACTATGTTTTGATCCCTGACAAGAGCTAGAACTCCCAGACTTAGATTTAAAACTGCCAGATTTAGTGACACCTGGCCAAAATCCTTTTCTGTTCTTCTTGAACCTTTCTCCTGAAGCTCCTGATTGACTGCTCCCACTTCGAAAGGTCACCTGTACTCCTTGATTACTTCCTTCACGAATAGCTGTCTCGACCCTTAATGCCGCCTCAACCAACAGACCAAAATTTTGATGCCATGAGCAGTAACCATAGGCCGAATCTCTGCTCTCAACCCTTGCTCGAACTGTCCACACCTATCTCTCTCTTCAGCTACCAAAGCACTTGCATACTTAGACAGTTCGACAAACTTTACATGATATTCAGCAACAGACATAGACCCCTGCACCAATCTTAAAAATTCATTTTGTTTTGCATCACAATAAAATGGTGGATAATGTCTCAAAGAAAGCTTCCTTGAAAATGGTACAGGTGATAATACTTGGATCTGGATACCGACTTCGGAACGAAATCCACCAATCAGCAGCTCTTCCCTTCAATAAAAATACATCAAATATGCTTTACAAGTCTTCATCCAAAGTTCAGCATCTGCTGGATTAGATGTACCCATAAAAAATTTTGCTCCAAGTTTCATCGCTCTCTCTATAGAATTATCTCTATCGGTATTTGGTAGAAGGGAAGCAATAGCTGCAGCTATTCTATCGGTGATGGGGCCAGGTTGCACCTAAGACTGGTGCACTGATTCAGCAGCCCCACTGACCCATCCAGCATGTCTTTCTTCAGGAGTATTATGAGCTTGAGATACTGGATTTTGGTGCCTGTGAGTTCTTCCTCTACCACGCATGACTTACCTACAATAATGTGTGACATACAAACATCAGATATATGCAATGTTACTCATAAACTCTAAGACCACGCTCGATACCAATTGACACGACCAATCCCGACTCAACCTAATTAACTCGACACGTGTTGTGATCCGATGGTAGATACCAGCTAAATGTCGGATCCACCACGAAGACAAACTTAACCTATTTGACTGTGCTATATTTCTATGAAATTTTTGACAGAGTTTTACCTTAAAAATGGATAAAACCAACCTGAAAAATCATCAAAACCTCAAATAAACATTCAAACCAAAAGTTTTGGAAACCACCACAACTAACACAAAATATAACAAAATTCGACTGAGTGCTTCTATAACAACATCAAATCTACATACAAACATTACATCAATTACAAACCCTTCTACAAAGTGCATGACACCCCAAATATTAGACAAAGTACTTAATAAACATGAGTCCCCCAACTATTCATTACATACTATGAAAGGTCTCTTTCGCTTTAGCAGGCTTTTCCAAGTCTCCTGATTATCAACAGTCTCCTGATAGGAAAAACATGACAAAAATATGAGTTCGCAACTCAGTGAGTGGATGATTTGCATATAAGTAAACTTTTTCCGTTTATGCATATTTTCTAAAAATTTTAACTTTATTAAATCCTTGAGAATTTCTGGATCTAGTAATACTTTTAAAAACTAAACATGATTACATTATAAAATTCTTTGTTCTAAATTCTAGATAAATATCTATAAGGTATAACAAATATAAAGAATCTGATATTCATGAAAATTTATGAAATATTGCTGCTTCTCAATACTAGAAGCTGAAAGCTTTATTCTAAAAACTGAATTAACTGAATTCCATAATTTGAAATCTGAGAACTGAATAAATACTGAAAAATCACACCAAAAAGAGTACCCAATGAATAGCTTTACACATGTACAGAGTAATCTCGATGTACAAGGCAAAGCCATTCAAATCTGATAATCTGATAGCTAATAATCTGGTCATAAGTACGCAGAGCTGCCCCAAAGGCTAATCACCCTAGTACACGGCCCAAAGTCTATATGTGTACGAGAGTGGGTTCCAAAGACCTTTGATAATTTGGTCATACACCATGGAAACACATTCATGATAGTGCAGAGCAGGTAAAATCATTATAACTAGTCATACATTGTGGAAACACATTCACATCAGTGCAAACTGGGGTAAAATCACCTGGGTACTTTCTGGTGGTTTTTAGAAATAACTTTAACTATACTAAAATATGTAATAAGAATATACCATGCTACTAAAATAATTTAACTGAATTGAATTTAACTTTAAAAGCAATTGATAATAAAATCAATTTTATTTTGAAAATCATGCTATGAAGTCAACTTTATAAAATAAATAACTTTAAAATTTAAAGAAGACTTATTTCTGAAAAATAAGTTTTATCCACTCACAAGGTATGAACTACAAGCTAGATTGCCTGATAAACGTTTCCAATTTCCTTGTCACCACTTGAAATACGATATTAATAAACAATTTATCCTCTATCTAATCAAGAAACCTTAATATCTAATGATAGAACTAAATTTAAATTCTCTTGACACTTGAATAAATTCTCAAATTTTCCTTTATTAATTGGAGCTAATCACACTTTATAATCCCTTGACTAATAACTAATTATCAACATAGCCTTCTTCCCAAGTTTAAAACTAATTTTACTCTCCAATCAAGTGAAACTAGTAACCATAATTCCACCCATTTAATATACATTTTGTTCCATAAAATCAGTTCCCAAGTGAAATATTCAATTTATATAATCATTTCCACAATTAATTAATCAAAATCCCAAAATCGGATTCTAGGGTTTTCCAAAAAAAAAAAATTGACATCTTCTTACCTTAATGTAGATAGAAATTCAAGAATCAATAACTTGAGCTCCAAGTAGTAATCATCTCAACAAATCTGAAAATTTTGAGCCAAAATAAAACCCTAGAATTTTAACATAAAATTTATCTACGTCTTGAAGAAAATAAAGAGAAAGGAAAAATGGAAATAGACTTTGAACTACCTCTTTCCTTTTTTCTTCTTCTTCCTTTTTCCTTTTTCTCCTTCTTTTTCTTTCCTTTTTTTCTTTTCTGCCGATTTCTTCTTCTCTGTCGTTTTTTTGTAGGTGTTGGTGTGTGTGTTTTTGAGTGAAAAATGGGTCAAAGGTTGAATTTAATGGTCCACATACCCGACATTTAATCCTATGACTTCCAAAAGTATATAAATAAATTCGAAACTTTGAAATGTATCCAATTTAACCTTCATATTTTGCCAATTGCAAAATAAACCCAAATAAAATATTTAATTTCATTTTAATCCTTCATTGATTTGACTTTTGAAAATTTCACTATTGACTTTGACTTTGACTTTGAAAATTCAACTCTTGACTTTTGACTAAATAATGTGGGTTGTAACATGAACGGTATGAGGCGTCTGCTCATAGGCGTCAATCAGCCGAGTTTGTAGAGTGGACGGGTAGTTACTTTTCCCGAGTTGAGTTGATAGGTCACATCAATTAGCCTCATGGAGACGTCAAATCACTTTAAACCTTAGGGACAGAAAAGATCTTGACAAAAATCTCATACTGAAATCAGCGGCGGATCCTCAAGCCGAGGCCCATAGGGATCCTTTCGCCTCGGATTCAAGGGGATAGGGCGCTTCGATCAATTTTGCAGAATTACCAATGTCTCGTAGTGTGATAGCAGATCATCTCAATTGGAACCACTTAGGGAACCACTTCGTATGAGCGTTCCACACCTCGGTTGACGTGGTGGTGGACTTTTCGAAGTGGAACCACTTCGTATGAGAGTTCCATACCTCGCCGATGTGGGTTCAGTTAGGGGCGTAACATACAACATAATTACAAATATGACTTTTGCCTTTCAAACTGTGATTCCAACAATCCCTACTATCAAACACAGGTATGACTCAATAAATTTGAGATCAACAATATGAACCATATTTTATCTATCGAAAGATAGAAGCTCTAACATTATGTCTTTAGATATTATTGTTATTACATCTTTTGTTCTTATTTAGTTTGGGTATACTCGGAGTACTTGTATATAATTTTTGATCTATACAAATTTATATTTATTGATAAAAAAAAAATTGATAGAGGCTCAATCTTTTTCAACAAAAAATTCAATACTGAGCTAAATCTTACACGACCTGCTACTAACCCTAGTTCGTTGTAGTACATTAAAAGCATTGACATTGATCAAAATATTTGATCCTAAAGATCACAATCCTTTCTTTCAAATAACTTATACAAAGCAATGCATATTATTGGATTGCAATTTCATTTTTCTTTTACTCTAAATGAAGTTCCAGGCTAGCCGGCTCACATGGACTTCATCATATCACCACTAATGTCAGGTCTGAATGTCGAGCCTCAGACACGGCCTGACTTAACTTTAAACACCAGAGTTGTAGCCATGTAACATGTAATTTGGGTTTGGTAACATGTCATTTTATTTGCAAGTTGCCAGTAACTGCAATTAGCCTTACACCATGACACTTCTCATACAATGATAGCAGAGGCGCTGAAGATGTCATATTAGAATTTTTTCTTTATTGATATACAAACTGAAGTTCAAAGAACTTTAAATTTAGGACAGACCTTTGATTCGTTCAAGTACTGCTAAAACCTCTGCCATGTTTGGCCCGAAATGGGGATCTTCGCTCAAGCACCACAAAGCAAGCTTTACAAAACGAAGAACTCCTTTATGTGGGTATTTGACATCCAATAGAGGGTCCATAACCTTGTGCACTCTTTGGTTGTTAGACAAATACGGTTTCACCCAGTCAATCAGATTTCTTCTTCTATCAAAAGCCTGACGTCCACATAGTAATTCTAGTAAAACAACCCCAAAGGCATATACATCACGTTCTTTTGACCAATAACCTGTTCATTAGTATAGATTTCAGTATGGGTCTAATATGATTTTTATCCAGCAAAAAGATCGAAAAAGAAGTATCTCAAATTGCTGAACCTGAAGCTTTGTAATCCGGTGAAGCATAGCCAATGTAATCCCATGGAACGTAGAAACTACCCAATGGAGTCTCATAAGGAATTCTCACTGCTTCAGCAAAACCAAAGTCGGACAGCTTGACATTAAATTCCTGACCCATAATGTAACAAGATTGTTACTTTTTCTACGCAAAAATATCTTGCTTAAAAATCAAAGCAGTAAGACAAAATAACAAGATCAAATGAACCCACCTCATCTAAAAGAATGTTTGAAGACTTAAAGTTTTTACTTGTCACTTTGTTTCCAACATCATGAAAGAAAGAAAGACCCCTTGCAGCACCAATGGCCACCATGATTCTTTTATCCCAAGAAAGATGCTGACGCCCTCCTGTGAAAGAAAATCAGTCATAAATGTTACCCATTGTTTTGAGATCGGCTTCAAAGTTTCCAGTACAAGAACCTATCGATCCCGTAGATTCAATAGATAATACATTGTTAATGTTGCTTATGGACGTAATCACACATGACAAAAGTACAATTCTCATGCAGTAATGGTATATAGCCGATGAAGCAGATGTTAACATTTGCAGCCAATCTTACTATACACCTCTTCCAATGCATCCCATGGAAGCATATTACACTACAAACAAAAGTAAAAAGGTAAGAAGAGGAGAAGGCTATTAGGGGAGAAATGAGAACTTATTCAACTAAAAAATAGCATACAGTCAGTACATTAAGGTAATGATTCAGAGATTACAAAATAGCTAATAGGACAACGAGAAAGATATCTACGGATTGTTCATATATATACAGAAATTAAGCAGCCATGCCATCTAACTAGACATTATTTAAGTGCAACCTACCTTTGAACAAATGGTTAGACAAGCTTCCTTCTGGCATGAACTCAAATACCAATAGCTTGTAGACACCGTCGTCACAGTAAGCAAGAAGTTTAATCAGGTTTGGATGATGAAATTGCGACAGATAATCCATTTCCTCCTGCAGAATACTGGGTGGTCACTAAAAGAGATTATGATGCATAACCAAGTCATAAGATTCGGCATAAAAGAACCTACCAACCATTCCTTGAACCCTGGCATACCATTACACCTCCTGATAGCAACAACCATTCCATATTCTGGCTCTGCAGCAGTAAGAGTGTGTATGTTGATCCCTCCTTTAAAAACACGACCAAATTGTCCTTCCCCTAAAATATTGTCAGGATGAAAGTTTCTGGTCGCATATTTTAATTCATTGAAAGAAATAGGCATTGCATCACGCAACTGCAATATCCTATCTTCAGGACTTGGAGTCAGAAGAGGGATGCTTGAGCTGGAAGAAGCTGAAGCAATGTTGGATTTGGAGAATTTATGCAAATGAATCATAGCAGCATAAACATAAACTACCGGTATTCACAGGCATAACCATAAAACAAATTTGTTTACATGTACATTTTTGCAAGTGCAAAATGATCTCACAGAAAAGATAGGACCCCCAAAGACTCCAATGTCCATAAACAAAATATTTAAAATGAGTAATTTGGTAGTGAAAGAAGAAAAAATAAAAATTTATATAGAATTATCACCAGTTAATCGTCATGACGTCCTAATTGCGTCATTATCACAAAAAGTATAAGAGATGCACCTTCAGGGTCCTACAAATGATCGTGAAGTGAAGAGGTGAAACTGGAATCTGACGAAATAGAGGCAAGGCTGGGGTCCCTGGAGTGTGCACGAGCAAGTTCCCGAAGCTCCTCTCTCCGTGGAGTAGCTGTAACTAGCCTCTCCCAATTGTCAATGTATCTATCATTCATCTTATTTAAACAAACAGACGAAGAGGATCAAAAGAAAAGGAAAGGAGAGGTTTTGCAGTGAATTAACCCACAAAACAAGTCAACTCTGCAGAAATGCAAAGGAGAATACAAGGTTTGGTCACGTAGCTCGATCAAAGGTGGACAGAAAATACACCAAAAATCACCAACAAAGCACAAGGAGGATGAACAATAATTTTCTATTTAGGTAATAACCAGATCCACAAAGAGAGAGAGAGAGAGAGAGAGAGAGAGAGAGAGAGAGAGAGAGAGAGAGAGAGAGAGAGAGAGTTGACTTCAAGTAGGATCAACTTGGCTTAATCCCATTGGTCCTCTCATTCAACACGCTTCAAAACTGCCTCTAACCTCAAAGCACAGATAGACCTTCTCCAAATCCTTCGGAGTTCAGGTAAGCCTTATACAACAATCTATTATTTGACCTGTGTTTCCAGATTTATTTGGACTAAAGTCTTGGACAATGTTACATTTACTGGGTTTAATCCGGATGACAGTTTTACGCTTGAGCTAGAACGAATGCAATAAGATATATAATCCTGTAAAAAAAAATACAATGTTGATACATGGCAACGGCCAATTTTTGGGTTTGACTTGGGCTTTCTGGTAAGAATAAAGCCAAGTCAAGCTTAAAAACGGTGAAAAGACATATTGATGTATCAGAAAATGATTAAGTGTTTTTGTCTTAATTTTTCAAACTGTCCAATTATGTGTCGACAAGTGTCCAATCTAGATTTAAGCCTGAATTTGAGCATAATTGTTGTGGTAAATAAAAATAACTAAGTTGAAGGAATTAAATGCAATAAGAATTGATGGACATGATTGTTGGGTTGTGTGTCCATATAATTATTATAATATAATTTTGCTGATGTAAAAATAACAACATTCTTATATTGAATAAAATTATGTTTATTTATTATTGAACATGCGAATTAAAGTACTATGATCACTTGTGATAATATGAATTGGGCGCTTCATAAGTACAATATGACCCAATATATACATTAATCATAAATAATTTATTCATAGCCAATGTATAAGGGTTGACACCTTGTATTGAAAAGTTGTAGTTTTGGCCGATTAACTATTCAAGTTTATTATTTGTCATTATCACAGAAATAGTTAACGGTAACACTAGTACACTTGAAGTATATTGATCGGACCTCATGTGGAGTTTAAATCAATAACATGATCATGCGGAGAATTAAATTTCACCTGGCCGCTGTATTTTTTATCTAAATCCCTTGATAGAGTTATTTATATCTTTTCGTGATTTTAACTGTTCTTTGATTCATCAATAAGTGAAATCAATTTGATTGGTCAAGTATTTCGATGAGTTAGGAATTTGAAAATAAACGAAGTAGAGAACATGAATTTGTGTCGAGAACAGTCATCTTGAAAAATGGATAGATTGACTATTTAAAATTTTGAAAAGAATGATGACTATTTTTAGGATTTTGGGATTTTTGCTTGATATTCTTGAGAAAAATGTTCGTGTTATATTTTAAAAATGTTTTCTCCAAACCAATAACAGTTGACACTGTTTCTTGAAATTGTCAAGTACACAAGTAAAAAAAGGACTTTGGCCAGGGCAGATCCAGCACCTAGCGAGCACTTGCGATCACGTGTACGAAATTCGTCAAGAGCATTCTTTATTATTAATTTTTTTTGACAATAGATTAAATTTTTGGCTTATATTAATTGTAATTCATTTTGATATCAAACAAACTTTTGGTTAGAGCTTGCATGTACATATTGAAAGTCTTGGGGTTCGAATCCCTTGCCAACAAATTTGTTGTGCAATTTTTTCATTTAACAATTTTTATCAAAATTCAATAGGGAGAGGGAACGAAGGAGATTCGAACTTGTGACCTTCTGTAAAATTTAATGTAAGCTTGATTATTATGGCACTTCTTGAATTTTCACAATAAATTTAACAAAATAATATTTGTTAGGTTTTAACTTATCTAATGCAAGTATAATTGTAAAGATTTGAATTTATGCTCTTTATTTGAATTATACAGAACTTGACAACAGTGTTATTTGATGAGTCCGGTATATTCTTATAACAAAATTATATATGTTCAATTTGAATAAAATAATTGTTATATTTAAAATTTAGTCCTTGTTTGATTTTCATTTTTTCTCTCTTCTTTTCAATCACACATTCTCCGATAAAATAATATTACAGGCAAATTTAAAAATTTTCTTTATTTTTAGTCACACATTCTCTATCAAATCACTATTCCAAAATACATCTTTTGCAAAAATTAAAAAAAATGAATATCAAACGGGCTCTTAATATTTTATTGCTGACGACAATAGACAGTCGGCGGCCACCCGAGCTGACTCTAACTCCTTGATTCGCCTTTGACTCTGGCTTAGTAAAACTTATTTTAAGATCCATAATTATTTATTTTTACTTTTTAACCACGATTTTCTAAAAAAGTTATTTATCATTTGAAAAAATCTTGTATAAATTTACATCATTTACCAATGTTTTCATGTACTTAAAAGTTTTGGAAAAATGATTTCAGAAAAATGGAAGAATATTAATGGTGCTTGTTAAATACAAAAAAGTTATGTCTATTTAAAAAAAAAAAAAAAAAAGATATTGAGATATGTCGTTTCCTTTTAGAAACGAGAAAAATATTTTCTAATAGAGAAATCTTTATCTATTTAAAGACATTTTAGAAAAATTGTAAACAGGTCTATAAATTAATTGTATCGTCTTTGATTAAATGTAGAACATAAAAAATATTCTCATCTTTCCTCCTCATACTAACTTGCATGCTCAAGCAACCAAGTAAAAATCCGTGCAAAATTCTTCGACATAATTTTTTTTCTTGAGAGGCAATTCGCAAGAACTCATTTGTACATTGTATAATTCATGACAGGGAAAAATAGTGTTTCAAGGAAAGTAACATTGTAAGATGCGTTGAAGTGGCGAAGTCCATTTTTATCCATTTATCAAGAAAATTGGGTAACAATTTTTCCAACAAAAGCTTCTCTATGGTTTCGGTCTACCTCTTTCGTATTCAAGTCGTGCATCGCTAAGTATAATTTTTTATAACAATGTCTAATCACTCCGAATTCGGGACCATCTACCTCGTTGAAGGAGTTAACATGGTAAATTGGTAATCGCTATGATTAGGGAAAGGACATTGATATTTTGTTTCTACCTTCAATCAAAGACAAGATAATTCGTTTATAGGATTGTTTACAACTTTTCAAAAATATCTTTTAAATGGATACAGATTTTCTCTATTTGAAAATAGGTTTCTGGGTTTCATAAAAGGAACAACATTTCTCAATATCTTTTCTTAATAGACATAACATTTTTTGTATTTAAAATGCACCATTAATATTCTTCCAAGTTCCAGCAACTTTTAAGTACATGAAAGCATTCCTTAATGACGAAAGTTCACAAGAGATTTTTTGAAATGATAAAAGATTTATTTTTAGAGAAATAAAAATAATAATTATGGATCGTAAAATAAATTTGTTTTTTACTTGGGCATTTGACAACTTTTAAGATACCGTGAAAACTGTTACTGGTATGAAGAAAAAACTAATATATATATATATATATATATATATTGTTAACAACAATTGTACGAGGACATGGTTTGTTGGTCAGTGTTTCATTTTATAATTTTTATGTCAAATTTACAACTCCGCATTCCTCTAGATATCTTTTTGCTTTGTGTAGGGGTGGCACCGTCGGTAGCCGAGCTGGGTTCAGCCCATCGGTTCACCAAGATGCCAGGTCTCACTTGGCTTATGGGCCCTGCCAAGCTTGCCCACGAAAACTTATATTTCGGCTTTTTTTTATTATTATAAAAAAGGAAATTTACTTAAATTTATGTTGAAAAATTAAATATGGCAACTCGTAATTATGACATAAAACCCATATAGCGTTGGCTCAAGGGCCATCTAGTAGAGAGAACCCAAGGGCGGGCCCGTGAAGCTGATGACCCCGAGATTTTACGCATGAAACACTCAAAGAAGATGATCATCTCTCAGATCGCCAATATTTTTCTCTCCGAAAACCCAAGAGACGAGAGCAAGATGAAGGGTGTAATATGACGTTCCAAAAGGCTCCACATTTTTAACAAAGGGTAGATGAACCGGCTCCATCCAACGTCCAGAGATAGTCCACGTGTTGGCCATCCAATAAGTTGTCATCACTTATTTAGTCGTGTTTCACATAAACACGATTTTGTCACAAGTCAAATTTTGGAAGCATCAATCGAAGAGAACAAGATTCGACTCCAACAATCTCCGCCTTGCTGCCAGAATTTGAGCTATTAGTGCAGCCAGGAGCATGATCTTATGTCTTTTTCATTTGCTCCAAGTACTTGTACATGAATCACAGAGAATCAATAGATAAAAGTTTCCAACAGTTTAAGAATTTGTTTAAAGAAATTACTTTTGTACCTATATCAGATAGATTAAACCAAGTAGAAACTTTTTCAATCTTAATTTCATCTTTTGAAATTATATCTCTTATAAAATGGTATTTGACATCAATATATTTCGATCTATCATGAAACATTGGATTTCTGCTTAGGTGAATAGCACTTTGGTTATCAGAAAACAGCACAATGTGATTATCATCGAAACCCATTTCAGACAATAAACCATTCAACTAACTCCCTTCTTTAACAGCATCAGTTGCAGCTATATATTCTGCTTCAGTTGAAGACAAAGCCACAACTTTCTGAAGTTGAGATTTCCAACTAATAGCAGTACCACACAGTGTATAAAAGTAAGATGAGGTTGATTTTGTATTATCTCTATTGCTAGCAAAAGCAGAATCAGTATACCCTTTCAAACTTATTCCATTTTTATCTGATTTAAACATTAAGCCTAAATTTGATGATCCCTTAAGATACCTCAATAACCATTTTAAAGTATGCCAATGTTCTTCACCAAGATTACTCATATATCTACTTAAGATGCTAATACTATAAGCAAGATCAGGTCTGATGTATATCATCAAATACATCACAGAACCAATTACATTAGCATATGGAATTTTTGACATTCTGGCATATTCATTTTCAGATTTAGAACAAAATTCAAAAGACAATCTAAAATGACTAGCAAGAGGCAGTGTCATAGGCTTACAATCATACATGTTGAATTTTTTCAAAATTTTAGACACATAATCACATTGATTTAAAAACA